AACGGTGCTTTTTTTCTGGAAGACTTTGCAGTTTTTTCCTGGATTTTTCTGTTTGCGCATAGTCACTTTAAGATGTTTTCTGGTTCATGTTTTTGTTTTTTTGTTTGTTGCGGTTGCACCCGATTCAAGAGCCGAATGGCTCACAGGGCTATACCAAATAAATGAAACTGAAAACTGAAACTGAACCGATGGGCTATTTGTAAATCCTTTATATTAAGTTAACTTGCTTGCTTACGACCTATCAAATATTTCGATCGTTTTTTAACCCACTTCCCGTGATCCAATCGAGCTGACATTTTCCACACAGACTCGTTGTGCGTGACAATTAATGTTCGTGAAAAAAGAAATTCCAAAATGTTACACTTTTTAGGACAAAAATAGTATATTTAATTACCAATTGCTTAACGGTGCAATGCAATCATCTGACCCATATGTAGCAGCCATCTCAAGCCAGAGGACGAGAGGACTCTAGCCGCCACGCATATAAAGGATTTATAGTGAAAAACTTTGTTTTTACGGGTTATACTTGTTAATAACCCCCACCCGCCTTCCCCATCTCTATCAACCAGTTGTACAAATGGGTATACCGCTAGCGATCAGCAGCTTGTGTGCGGTGGGGTAAAGTGTGGGTGTTCCCGTGACTCTCAGCTCGAGGAAGCTCCACTCGTGGAGGCCAGTCCGCCGGCAGTGACGTGAGGAATACATTGCAGGGCTTGCACCCTTCGCCGTTTTAAACTCAACAACCGTGATTTCATCTTGTCATGCCTTTTTGCCAATTGGCCACGGGGGATTTACGCGAATCACTGGAAAGTTGTGTCTGGGCATCAGGCACGTTTTTCAAATTCTCGATAATATCCGTGTCTAAATGAGATAAAGTGTGCTTAGGCAGTTGAGAAGTGAGGCTATAAGCTGCCTATCTGGTGGTCGGTGTGCATCAGTATCTCCGGGTGGCAGGGCCGTTGATTTTGTTGTTGTTAAATATTGTACGTGTATAAATCTGTTGTAATGTTCACGTTTATTATCACACTACACTCATGCTCACACTCAGGGATGTTGTTCATTTGGAATGTCTATACGTTGCTGGCAAGGCTTGTCCCGTTGTGAGTCTAAAGGGACCTCAAAACACACGTTTAATGATAATTATTCTATTCCTCTGCATATGCTGAAAATAGTGAAAACAACTTCTAGCTGCATAGATAATAGGATACATTTGCCACGTGACTTCTCATCTATGATTTAATAAGGGGCCGTCCATAAATGACGTCACGCACCTGGGGGGGGGGGGGTCAGACATTTGTGACGATGTGTGACGAGGGGGGGGGGGTGAGAAATGTGACGTCACATCAAAATGCGCAACTTTAAATAAATATAGACAACACGTTCTACTTAATTAAATATACTTTTTAACAAATGTTTTCCCCTACAACATCAGAGTGCAGCGCCACATTAAATACGCACTACAATGACAATAGTTTAAAGTGATTTGAAGCATGTTTTATTTTCAAAATGGAAATATGGTTTTGGTAGGGGGGGCAGAGCTTTGTGACGTCATATTTGAGGGGGGGTCTGACTTTTTGTGACGCCGTGTGACGAGGGGGGGGGGGGTCAAAAATCATCCAAAATCGCGTGACGTCATTTAGGGACGGCCCCTAAGTGGACAATCTGCTAAATGTATAGCAAATGGATGACAAACGTGCACAAAATAATATAATTATCCATGAAACAGTGGACAATAGGATGCATCTGTGAAAAACACACAATAAGAGTTGCAGCAGTCCTGTAGCATAGGAGGTTAAACAGTTCCTTTAGTTGAATACATACACATAGTTCATGGTATTAATATCCATTAGTTACATGAAAATGATTATTTTGCTGAAGAGAAAAAAATATATATCCATAATGGATTAAAAGCTATGGCTTTTCACGGTCAATTTGTAAACTAATTTGTATCTCATATTCTGTGGTCTGTTGCACAGTATTTGTTTCAATGAATTTATTTCATATAACAATAGGTTTTACCCTTTCTGTCAATAAAACAGGTGTTAAGATGTTAAAATACCAAACAGAATCATTTTTCAATGAATGCTGTCTGCATTAACAACACGTACTTGTGATGAACATGTTAACAAAAACACATGCTCTGATAATATATGCATTGTCTCTGTAACGGATTTGGCTATAATGAATGATCTGACTATAATGAATGAAACTGGCTATAATGAATGAAACTGGCTATAATGAATGAAACTGGCTATAATGAATGACCGGGCTATAATGAATGACCTGGCTATAATGAATGAAACTGGCTATAATGAATGAAACTGGCTATAATGAATGAAACTGGCTATAATGATTGATCTGGCTATAATGAATGATTTGGCTATAATGAATGAAACTGGCTATAATGAATGATCTGGCTATAATGAAACTGGCTATAATGAATGAAACTGGCTATAATGAATGAAACTGGCTATAATGAATGATCTGGCTATATTTCGATTTAAAGCTTTCGTGACTGCAGGGATTCATCTTCTTGGTTCTTTCGGTAAAGTCACGTCTTTACCGAAAGAACCAAGAAGATGGATCTGGCTATAATGAATGAAACTGGCTATAATGAATGAAACTGGCTATGATGAATGACGTGGCTATGATGAATGAGCTGACTAAGAATGAAAACATCGTTCGTGTCGAGATGGACTCAACGAGGGAAGGAAATCTCCACTGCACAAACAGTTTTTGACCAAATAATCGACGGCCTGTATCGCCATCTGGTGTTGATAATGTTAAAATGCTGCAACAGAATTTTTCACAATGGACATCACGTTTGTTTGCCCCCACATCATCAAAGTGTTAAACATCGCCGTTAATTTGTACATTTTACCGACATTTATTCAAATACTAGTATGAATTGTCTGGTTATTTGGCTTCTACACTAAATGTATCTGTGTGTATATATTAATAGAACATTATATACAGCATTTTGGATAATAATTTTGGGAAACACAAAATATTCAAATACGTTTTAACACCCCTGAAGCGTGGAGGGACATTGTTCAGTCCGAAGTATTTTTTTGGTGTGTGTGTTCAAAGGCGTCACGGTTATCCGTGTATAAATAATTGCTCAATGGCTGAACAAAGTTTCAAAGTTTCCGATCGAGTAGACACAGTGACGCGTGGCGTCGTCTCTTGGCAACATCAACACGCGACACTAACTTTAGCGCATGGGTGAGTGCACATTTGCATCAACAAACCACGTTCGGAACAATACACACTTGACCATACCAACACGCGTGCCCCTGCTGTGGTACTTGTGCGACATCTAAAGCCAGTTGGACAGCAATTTTTGTTGTTGTTTTTGTATAGTTGAAATCGTGCGACCGATTTGCTGTTTCCTTTATCTGAACAATTACACATCAGTGGTATAAAGTTGAAATATTACTTCACATTAATTATTTTGATTATTGAAACAAATTTGTTGAAGTGTTTTACTTCATAGTTTGCTATGATGTAATAATAAATAATACATGCGTTTAACACGTAGGCTTTTGCGACCAATCTTCTCCATAATAACGTTTTTTTGGGGGGTGGATCGCGTACATATAAATACGTCGTTAACCCACCACCGTCCGACAGCCAATTCGTTAAGGTTCGCCAAATATAAATTCGTGAACGCTCAGGATGGACAGCCGTCAGAGTGGGGCTGTGCTGAGTGGACAAGCTCGTGCAAAGCTCAGACCCATGAGGCTGAACACTCAGAACATGCAGACGAGAGAAGGAACGGGCCTGCAACGTCTGCGTCAGACGACCTACTTTGGTGAAGCTCCCAGCTCGAGAGGTCCCCTTCGGAGGCAGGCGAGAGAGTGGCAGGAGACGGAGGAGCAGAGAGTGAGCGACACGCAGGTGAAGAATGTCCTCCATCGCGTGACTCATGGTCAGAAGAACAGGCAGCTGGAATGAAACAAAGGAAGAGCTGGAACGCATCAAGTGCAGAGTTGATGCGGTACGTTGCCAATGAAAATAGATACAGTACCGTGATTTTATGAGATATGCGTGTGTGTGTCTGTGACTGTATACGATGTGCAAATCCTCGCCAGCGTATTTTTAGATCTCATGAATGTAAGGGTATTCATCGAATGTTGTATTTTCGGGGACGTGTGATAAATGTCCATGTCCCACTGTTTTATACATCATGTTCATGTCATTCCATCTATACATTACGTAAAAAATACAGATTATTTCCCATATTGTATTTATTGCATTAATCTATCTAAATCAAGACTATTTGTTGAACGTGGATGAAACCCATGACTTAACAATTCTGCTTGTGGTATTTTGTGGCATGCCCCTTTAAAGACTGTGGAGGCGTACGAAGAGAGTAGCCGGCAAGTTTTCGATTCGTATAAAAGCAGGACGAGCATGAAGTTTTGGAGGACCTGGTATTTGCAACACTTAAAACACATAAGATGCATGTAATATTGATCAACCAAACATCGAAATAACTGGCATCTGTAAGGCTCTCAATCCATATGCACTCTTACGACATGTCCTTAACTTTTCCTTAATTAAATATTGACATGTATACATTGGCCAGTATGTGTGTATGTTGAACTTCTTTCGCACCGTACTTCCCAGCCGTGCTAATCAGAGGTGCGGTGACGGATGTACGATCACACAACCCCGCACGGCATGGGGAGGACTTCTCCCAGCAGTGGATTGATTAAGAGACACTACATTTGCACAATCCAACAAGCAATACGATTTTAACAATCAACCAATATCAATCTTGATTTGAAGCTTTCGTGACTGCAGGAATCTATACTCTTTGGTTTTTTCGGTAAAGTCACGTAGGTAGACAATAAAATAAATCACGACGTTTCGGGCACAACACAAGCGTCCGTCACCTGATGGTCACCTGATGACGGTACGCTTGTGTTGCGCCTGAAACGTCGTGATTTATTTTATTGTCTACCTACGTGACTTTACCGAAAGAACCAAAGAGTATGACTGTGGTTGCAACCGTGCGCGCGCGTCGTGTGTGTTGCAAGGATCAGTTGGAGGGCCTCCTGTCGAACGTGCTGGACAGGAAGAGGTACGAGCAGCAGGTGACCGTATTCATCGTGGGCTTTCAGGAGACCTGTGATCAACAAGAGCAGGTCCTGACCCAGCTGCAGGAGGTGAATCTTCTTTTGTGATACGCGAGGACGGGAAAGTACTGTAGCAACAGCAGGTATTCAGACTGTTCTTTCGACACTGAAATTTGATGTTGTGTAGAAACGTCGAAATTAATAAGTTTTATTTTATTATTTATTATTTCTCTGCTTTACGAAAGAACGAAGATGCCAATGGTCGGAGTATAATGACTAGCTTGCTGCGTTCCATTGCGATATATAATCATTGCGGTATGAAATGATACGGTACTGCAGACATGCAGCATCGGAGGAGGGGAAGTGGGAGGAGTGGCGGGGGGGGCTGAAGGCTAATGAGCCCCCCCACCCCAGCCCCTCTTTCTTATCAGTTAAGCGATGGGCATTGTGGCCTTTCCTTAAACATAGGGAATGAGAACTAGGGGGCCGTCCATAAATCGACGTCACGCACCTGGGGGGTCAGACATTTGTGACGATGTGACGAGAGGGGTAGGGTTTGAGAAATGTGACGTCACATCAAAATGCGCAACTTTGCATAAATATAGACAACACGTTCTACTTAGTTAAATAGACTTTTATAAATGTTTTCTCCTACAACATCAGAGTGCAGCGCACATTAACTAAGCAACACATGACAATAGTTTAAAGCGATTTGAAGCATGTTTTATTTTTTGGGGGGGGGGGGGGCAGAGCTTTGTGACGTCATATTTGAGTGGGGGGTCTGACTTTTTGTGACGCCGTGTGACGAAGGGGGGGGGGGGGGTCAAAAATCGTCTAAAATTGTATGACGTCATTTATGGACGGCCCCAAGAGCAAACTGCATGATCGACGAAAACAGGTCATCACATCGTTACTTGTTATGTCCGGTGTTTAAAATGTGAAGGTCACGCTGCAGGACTGCTATGCAGTATGGTCAGTCAGTTTAACACGTAGGCTTTCGCGACCAATCTTATTCATAATCAACGATTTTTGGGTTTAGATCGCGTTTATTTATAGATGTGTCGTAACCCTCCACCACCCGACACGGCCAATCTGGCGAATTGCCCGATGATGCTGATTGCAATTACCAGCGAAACGTCGTACTCAAATTGTAAATGTTGTTGCTTCAACACACCGGTGGGCTAAAGCAGTGAACTATTTGTCTTTGTCAACGTGACACATTTTTACTGATTGGCCGTGTCGGGTGGTGGAGGGTTACGACACATTTATAAATAAACGCGATCTAAACCCAAAAATCGTTGATTATGAGTATGGTCAGTGTTTGATTTTCGCTTTTCAAATGGTTTATGAATTGTTGCGTCATTCATCGGCCGTGTGTTTTACTCTGCACTGAAACACAGTTCTTCAGTAAGAATTCACGTTTTCCTTCGGATTATGAAGAGACCGTTGACAGAGATGTTCTCGACTTTGACGACTCCACTGAAAAGGTATGGGATTTCAGTCCCTGCAGAGAATGTAATTGCACCTGCATTTTTGTAATCATTCTACATGCTTAGAAATATTTAAAAAATGGAAAATAATTGTACACGCGATTTTCTTGTTTGAAATGTACTTGATAATTTGTCTGCTTATTAACAATACATTGTGCGAACTGTAATGGATTTATCTTCTTGGTTCTTTCGGTAAAGTCACGTAGAAGAGAAATAATAAAATAATAAAAATAAAACATAATAAAATAATTTTCACAATGTTTCGGCCACAACACAAGCAGCCGTCTTCAGGTGGAGAACAGGTCTGTCGAGAAGGTCTGTCGAGAAGGCAGAGCCATTCAGACTCTGCCTTCTCGACAGACCTGTTCTCCACCTGAAGACGGCTGCTTGCGTTGTGGCCGAAACGTCGTGAGAATTATTTTATATTGTTTAATTTTTATTATTTTCCTTCTACGTTACTTTACCTGAAAGAACCAAGAAGATGAATCCCTGCAGTCACGAAAGCTTTAAATCGAAATGTAATGGATTTTTAAATGTTTTATTGTATATGTGAAGGGCTTTTCACAACTGTCATTTTTTTATCCATCAAGTAACATTTGTCATCAATGTGATCTTACATCAGGTTCAGGAAGCACTGCTCTCTGCTGAGAATGCGACCCAGAGGATGCTTGAGCTTAGTAAGGAGATGATGTCCTATCTGAGCATCCTTGATTCAAAAGGAACAAAAAAGTAAACCTACTTTTACAAATATATTTCACACCCATGCATTAATTTAGTACAACGCCTATTAACTGCTGTCCTATTACCCACTCTTCTGATTATCCACCCCCGCACTTTGATTCACGGATCTCCCCATTATCCGCACATTTATTTAATTGTATTAAATACATTTTAGAAATCGGTGATAAAACACACAACCCAGAAATTGTAGCAAGTTATATATATTACTAGTTTATACCTGGGAATTTGACCCAACCAAATGTTATCCAGATGTAATCTCCCACGAGTATATTATTCATCTTATTATCTGCGCCGCTTAAAGCATAGACGATAAGAGTCACCTGGAAGGGGTGGCACATTCATGAATGGTATTCCTTGTGGATTGAAGCAGACTTGAATTGACCAGGAAGGAAGTGATCCGTTGGCATTATCTATGATCTGAATTCACCCATGCTACGCTGTGTGGATTAGCATAACATGCACGATACAACAGGAGGGAATAGGATCTCCCCATAGTGTACCCTAATATCAGCAGAATCGGGATGTTTCACTCTAATCGATCCTATATAGAAATGGTGTCTGAGTGTGTCTACATTTTAAGCAACTTTTGCTGTTGGTGGAAACGTTTCAGCATTTACTGATGTAGACAATGACAAACATTCATGAGGTCGTAGTTGATGGATGTAATAGCTTTCTGCATGACCCAGATGTGTGCATTTTTCCTGTACAGGCAAATAAGGATGCCTCCTTGCAAGTCCTTCTTAAGCATCAAGCTATTACCACTTGTCTGTGTGTTGGGAATGTGTGCTGCAGTAATGTTTGGTATTTGACCCAACAATAATTAACTTATATACGTAGATGTTTTATGTAGCGGAATGGACTGCTGCTTGCAATTACTTCATGAACTCTAAAGCATGGCATGATCTTCTTGGTTCTTTCGGTAAAGTCACGTAGAAGGGAAGTAATAAAATAATAAAAATTAAACATAATAAAATAATTATCACGACGTTTCGGCCACAACACAAGCGACGCTGTCGCCTCGACACACCTGGTCTTCACCTGAGGACGGCTGCTTGTGTTGTTATTATGTTTTATTTTTATTATTTTATTACTTCCCTTCTACGTGACTTTACCGAAAGAACCAAGAAGATGAATCCCTGCAGTCACGAAAGCTTTACATCGAAATCTAACCGCCACTACGGGGTGGGATTCCATAAAACTTTAAGAGCCTTCAACAAGCTCCGTGATGAGAAGGCTCAGCTAATCGAGTCCCTCACCTTTCTGAAGAGATGCCGCGACTCTAAGACCTGGTCTTCACCTGAGGACGGCTGCTTGCGTTGTGGCCGAAACGTCGTGAGAATTATTTTATTATGTTTTATTTTTATTATTTTATTACTTCCCTTCTACGTGACTTTACCGAAAGAACCAAGAAGATGAATCCCTGCAGTCACGAAAGCTTTAAATCGAAAGCATGGCTTGATCCTTTTTAGTAAGCTTCCGGTGAGCACATTTGCAACTCTGGTCGTTAAAATAATGTCGTGAGACGTGTGTGCTGTGTGTGGTGTCGAGCTTTCTTCCTAGTATATTCGGTTCAGAGAACTTTGACGTTGCTTGGACGATAGTGCATCCCAGGAAACATGCGACGTTGGTATGTGATTTGAGCCATTGGGCCCAACGCTGGCCAAACGCTCCATGTTTACTGGGATTTGGTGGTGTGCTTTGTTTATTTAGTTGGAACACGGGCGATGGCACTTTCTTAACCTATATGCTGTGACCGTTAAAGTTGTAAAATGCATGGCATTGCTTGGTTAATGGCAGTGGTTAATGAATTGTAACGTTCGACAATGCTCAAACTCTTATCTTCTGTAAAATGTGTGTTCTTTTAAGGAGTTTGAAATGCAATTAGTTGTGTATGGTCATACAGGGTGACCCAAAAAAAACGGGCCCCGTGCCTATTAGAGTTATTAGAGTTGGGGCCCGTTTTTTTTGGGTCACCCTGTATTAACCAGACCTGTAACAATTCACTGCTCTGGCAATTAATTAACATGTTTGATTCTGGGTGACAATTTTACTGAAGCATCCATGCTTTTGGATCGTTGTAATGGTCTAGTTTGTATTGTTTCTTGTTTTTAATACAATTTTGTTTGCTTAAACATTAAAATATAGCCTAGACAAAGTTTAAAATATGATCTGCCTACACTACATATAATCGATTCTTGCACAATTCGATGCATGTAGAATTTAACGCGTTGTTGCATGCCTCATATTAACTGAATGTTTTACAGCGTATATAAAATGTCAAAAAAGCGTGACATATCTTTCCTTTGAGAGATTGCACGTTGTGGATTGTACAAAGCGGTACCGAAGTGCACGTTTATTGTCCATGATGCCACCAGAGGGCGCAAGAGGATAGAAAAAGCCTTGAATCAGGCCAAGGGTGATGTTAACCAGCTGACTGAAAAGCTTCTGGCAGCTTACAAGGGTGCGTTGTTTCTTGGTACTTTTTTAAAAAGTGAAATTAAATGGAGCCAAATACAATCAATGTTAAGGCAACTGGAATGCATTGCGTTATTTATTTTTATATGAGCCACCCCATTAACGTTTACAATGTGTTTTTCAAAAGGTATGGAGCAGAACGATGAGAACTTGAAGGCACTTTTGAAACAGAATGAAATCAAAACGCTGGAGAGCCAACATTTCAGAACCCATGCTGCTGCCACAAAGGTAATGATTCAACACAGCACTGTACTGTGCCGTACTGTCGTGTTTTTAATACCGAACGGAATAAGTTGCACTTAAATAATTCAGCTGTTTTTAAAATCGAGGAGCATGAAATATATTTCAAATATTGTCAAGAATAAAACATATTTTATACCAAGCTGCTTATGGTGTCGATAAAAAAATGCGTGTTTTTTAAAATATTTTGTGAATTGCAATAATTGCAGTACCAAGAACAGGAATCGTAAATATTATACCAGAAGTTAAGACTGTGACTAATTTCCACCACAAAAGTGATTTTGGAACAGTAACATTAACATTGTGCAAAACCGGATTAAAATCGACAGGGCAGCCCAGTTCAGATGCCAAATGTTGGAAGCAGATGCTTCTGTTCGCTACTCGTCTTACGATGTTTCGGGGACTTTGTTTTGTTTGTTTCTTGTGCCGATCGTGAAGAGAATGCTGGAGACGTGTCAGCAGGACTGGGAGGTGCAGAGAACTCTTCTGCAGCGACAGGTGGCCACAGCCGCGGCACGGGCCCAGGAGACCGAGGAGGCCCATTGCCAGGCTACAGCCCAAGTGGAGAGCCTCATGCGGTTAGTAGAGGAGCAGGCCAAGCAGCTGGAGGTAATGCAAAGAGCAACACGCAAAGGTGTGCTCACAAACAGCAGGACGATATGGCTCCCATCGTGCATTGCATATGGGCGTCTTGTGACCACCACATTTCATGCGTGATGCTACCAAGCCATGGATTTGACATCATGGGACCTCCTTTGCCAGTACCAAAATATGAGAATAGGTCTTCCACTTTTTTCTGGCCTTTTGGCATCCTCTGGTCTAACACCGTTTGAGACGAGGCTCAAAAGAAAGCTGTCTCTGGTGTGGACCAATCAGTTTCAAAGACAATGCATATATTATCAGAGTAAGTTTTTTGTTTGCATTCTGACCACAAGTATTGTGGTTAATGCAGACATGATTCCTTGTAAAAGGTTTCAGGTTGGTGTTTTAACATCTTAACACCTGTTTTGTTGCCAGAAAAAGGGGAAAACCTATTCTCATCCATGGATTTGAGTTAGGTGGTGGTAAATGCGTTTGAAGTCTTGAGTTAATGAGCTTTTCGACAACGTAACCGGGGTTACTCGGAGGTCAGCGTTCTGCACTGTGCACCGCTGATATCCTGGGTTCGAATGCAGGTTTATTTATCGCCAGTAATTAAACTGAGTTCTCGAGCATAGTGAGTTAGTTGTCTCAGCCCAGTCACCAGTAACCTCATAAAATAAAACATGGCTAAATTCCAGCTCAGAAAATGTTAACATTGGTCTGACTCTCACGTGACAATCCATACTCCCTTATGGCAGAGTGGGTGGGAAAGTGCTGTCTCATTACAGAGTGGACTAGATGTCACTTGAAGAGACCACAGAGGTAGCTCCTGGGATATCCGCTTCCATATCACAGCTAGCTCCTGGGGTATCCGCTTCCGCACTGCTGCGCAAGAGATCGGAATGAATGCGTCGCCTCGTGCCATGATGCCGATAGCACAAATTTGGGGAGATACGACAGCATTTTTATTTTGAATTTTTATTTAGAAATTTTATTTTAAATTTAGATATGTTCCGTTGAGAAGTGTGGAACTCTTTACCGCAATTCACAGATCGACATAGGGTCGTCTTTTTCCAGAAGCAGCTTTAAGGAAAATAGAGAAAATGTAATTCGAACCATGGTGCTTTGTTACCCAAAATGTGGAAAACTTATATTTTGCCGAAACTCACATTCGCTCATTTAGCGTAAATACTGCATAAAGCACGGTAATAAAATACTACTGGTGCAAAAAAAAAAATCTGATACTATTGACTTAATATAGTGTACCCATTGTCGGGATATGAAGCGATTCACTTTTAGAACTTCCAGAAAATTATTTCAGATGAGTCATTAGGGACAATGCATTCATCTGTGAGATGATGTTTAAGAGTTTTGCTTGCAAAAATTGGCAAGCAGAAGAGCATCATTAAACGGTAATGACATATTCTCTTGTGTAAACTGTAATCAGGCCAGCCTACTATTAAATGTGATTACGCATCAGACATTTGTGATTCAAGGTGGCCATGAACACCGATATTCGTGCTATCTTGTACATTCCGTGCACGATCTCCAAATCTCACGAGTAATGTTGGAATTGAATTACCGCGTTGACAGACTATACATGCTTCCTCCTCTATTGTTCACAAATGTGTGTCCATCTTATTTATTAAACGTTGTCAAATTTAAAACGAGGCGTTATTTCAAGTACTATCCACCAGGTGGCGAGCTATTACCTGAACGCGGACCATTTCAGAGATACAACACGGCTACATGTATTTCATACATTTCACACTTGTGGACTTTTACCAAATCAATATTTCCCCCTAATGTTCTAAAATAACTGCAAGTTTGTGATCTAATTGTCAATAGACAGTGAATGGATTGCAAGCCACTACACACAGACGTGTTTTGTAATAGTCCACAGTATTTAAAACAAAAACGTTTATTGTAACATATACAAAATCCTTCAGTGAATTCATCCTACGTCAGTTGATAATATGTTGCATTTGTTAGCATTTAACAAAATAAGCTATAATAACAGTATAGTATTTTTCACTCGGTTTAAACACTTTCTGGGCACCCTGTCATTCTGCATAAGCTGTTATCAAGGTGAATACTGCTTCAGCCACCAGTAAGATCAATAAGTCAGAAGTATGATGTTAACATTTTTGCAAGAGCCACACTCCTCTTTGAAGGTTGGACCATGCCAACAGGTAATTCAAACCTCCGATTGTGTTTTGTTCAAACTGCTCGCACTAAGTACGGACAGCAGAGGTTTTTGCATTTTCTGACAGTTGTTTCTGTCTCAGCAGGCAGTCGGGGCATTTCCGCACACAGGTCAAGTGTTAACTGCAAAATGGCATCCTGAAGGTAAAATACGTGCTCTGTTGAAATGGGGGATTGACAACTACAGCTGCACTGTTGAGGTGTAACTCCTCAAGTATGCACGGGGATTTAGAAATTACAGGAGAGGTGTTAACGACCTCACCTGGTATAAAGGAGGTTGTGGGTTCGATGGCGACCCTGACGCCTGTATATTTGGAATGTGCATGAGCTCCCAGTGGTCACGTGGATTTTTCTCCGGACCCTCCGGTTGTTCTCTCTTCATTTAGAAACACGCGTTTAGAGTATTTGGCTGCGATACGTTTCCACACCACAAGCCACTTCGTTGAGCTTATCATTTTAAAGTGTTTTAGTTTTAATCATTTAAATGGATCACGCATGTCCTGCGTCGTATATTTTTCGCGGTTGTGCTGCACAGCTGTCCGATGTGTTCTCGGGGTTGTTTCGCACGTTGTTCAACAGGATGTCCGACGTTTCGCTCCCCATCCTGAGAGCACCTCCTGCTGACCAACATGATGTTAGAACCCAGAGCCACATCGGAGAGCTTAATGCACACATTTTTCACCTGGGATATAGAGGGAAAATGTCCAGTAGGTGTAGCACAATGTAATAATAGTACTGTTATAACATTTGAGTAATGGACAAGTACTTTGGCCATCCACTGCCGGATGACGGCCAAATTATGCTCTATCGGTCATGTCGGTTGATTGACCATACTTCTCCACACTGATTATTGTGGGGTGGTGATGAGTGGGCAAACATGATCAGTTCAGGTATCACTCTCCACGGATGCTGGCTACAAATGGGAATCAAATTCAGCCTGCTCGGTTCGTAGTGGAGTGCGCTAACTACCGCGCCACCACTCCACCCCCCCCCCCCTTCCACACTGTTTGGTAATAGGGATGAAAGTGATGAATAGCCATGCAGTTCAAGTGCAATTTACTTCTACATTTTTACTACGGCATAGTCGCACTCTTTAGGGAAGTTAGGGGAAGATATTTTGGCAGTGCTAATCAACTGTAAAAAAAAAATGTAGGTAATTAATTTTACTGATTCCACATGCTCACCTGTACCGTATTGGTTATGGTTAGTAACTCGAGATCTCTTTTGTAAATTGTCAAATGCTTCTTGTAATGGATCGTCTTGCTTGCACTACTGTACGCTTAATGTTGAAAAATACAAACGTGATCGCGTGTCTTCATGTAAACTTCACGACATTCCTCAGTGGTTTTTTTTATCCCCATAGTATCGAATCTTTGTTGTTCGTGGTCGACCTTTTTTTTCTGCATGTGAAAATGTGTTGTCCTTCCGTCTCTCTAAAGTCATGTGCATGCATCTGGTGTACTTTGAGAAGTACTTTGTGGCAGGCCTGTCTGAGCAACGAGAGGCGAAACTAACCCCTCGTCCTTGCGTCATCAGCCCCGTACTCAAGAGGTCCAATTACTGGCAATTATTGCAGCTTTAAGGAAGGAGCAGTTTAAAATATTTGTGCGAATTAGCTGATGAAAATTATTGCCACATACCCCAGGGTTGAGGGGATGCGAACCGCCTGTGGATTTTAAAGGAGGGATTGAGGAGTGCATGAACAGTGTCCCCCTGCTCGCTGGAGTGGAGGGTGTTTGTCTAACTAAATGCAATTACGACCCCTCAGACCGTACAGTCGCAAAATAAAATGGATTAGTCACGCTGGCAGTTGTTTACGTTCCATTATTGCCGAGGCTGTTTGTGCAGAGCCTCTAACTGAGGTTGTACAGGACCATGGGGCCCTAACGAGCTGCGAATGAGTGCAGCGTGCCTCGTTTGAAAGTCGCACTTTGTCACATTTCGTGTGTGGGGGAAAGAGGGGGGGAGGAGTTTTTACTTCAGTTGTCTGGTTTAAAAAAACGAAGGCTTGTGGGAAGAACAAATAAAGATCTTGTTTCTTGTTTCCAGTGCAGTCAAATTGTTGGTGACATTTGAAAGTACTGTATTCAAAAAAATTGCCCATTATATGGATCGCATATAGTGTGGAATTTTGAGCAATCTTTTGACTTGGCCGTAATGCGTCTAAACGTTGACTTCTGAACTTCAAATCCCACGTGAATTGGTGACTTCAGTCCTTCTCTCTTTCGACCATTACAGTTCGTCCAGCAGACTGTTGCCTTTCTCTGCAAGCGGCAAGCGAATATACTCCGTTGCAGTTTTGTGTGCAGCCGTGAATTTAAAAAAAGCAAACAATACTTAAATGTGCTGGGTTAAACCAATAACAAAGGAACAGTTGTACGACTGCAAAGACCCATCTCTGCCGGCTCTGTTTTGTGATCGGCGGTGCTGGTGCTGGTTGCGTTTAATAAAAAACGCACAGGGGCACGATGGAGAATGCCGTTGAAGGTACAAGGACTCACCAAGGAGTCTTATTTCATACGTGTCCTTGCCCCTGGCAGAACCACAAGTCTATGAAAGCCGAGATGATGCCGGGAAAGAGTCCCCTTTGGCTTTACGAGCGGAGTGCGAGCAGCCCATTCCACTGCCATCGGTACGTGCAACAATTTGCCTGACCCCCAGTTTGTACGGGGCCCCCTTAGTGCCAGCAAATTTTTTTTTCTGTTGTTGCGTTAAACGCAATGCCGTGGAAGAACAAAAAAAAACACGATGATAATGCGTCCATTGTAAAGGGCACATAACCGGGCACATAATTCACAGGGCCTGCTTGTCTGTTCTCTTGGCGCCTTCTCCTGCGAAGCAGTAATGAGAGGGAAGTTTGGGAACATGTGGCATTAGTTAGGTCAGTGCCGGCATACTGCACCCACTGGGGGATCTTGCTGGCCAGACGAGAGGCATGCATGCATCAGCTGTTGCAATTGCTTACATTCAGACAGTTTGTTGGGTTGACCTGGATGGTATTGCAACGTGAAGCTATATAGCTCGTGCATTGTGTAAGTTCGAAGTGGAATTAGTGAATAGCGTCAAGTAGAGGGGGTATGGCAGGCATTGATTTGGAGAAAATTTGGGAGGTTTACAAAATTGCATCATTCTCTTGAAATCTTGTACTTGTATCTTACTGTATTCTTAACCGTGGAGAGATGAAATAAAAAATAAGTGTGTATGTATATACGATCAATATACGTAAATTGTTCAATTAAACAGCAACATGTCTCATTGTACCTACAATCGGAAATACTGTTGATTGTAATTTAAGTTTACTTAATTATTTTACGTATTTTCTATTAATTTTCTACACACACAAACAAAACGTTAGCAGTACCGCTGTTGACCACACGATGGTGCAGTGCACGTGGATTTCATAACATGTGCACGACAGTACCACACTGAGCCACGCTGCCACAAAGCTACTCAGAATCGAGGCCGTAACGATCATATATATTGGGGGAACACATCCCCACATCCCCCCCCCCCCCCAATATTCAAATATGCTCAAAATGTCCCCCCCCAATATATTGCTATTAAATAGATTTCTGTTTATATGATTGTGGTTATGGTTGTACTTTATTAATCCTTAATCTCTGCCATTACATACAATGAAACAAGAAAAGGTAAAACATAAAAAAACAGAGCAATGTAATACAATACACTATTAGCCATTATTGTAAAAAATAAACATAAAGGCCATCCTATGTATTAGTGAATTTTTTTTATATTTTAGGCAGAAAATTAGTTTTCAAATTTATATTTTTGTCTGGGGGGGGGGGGACCCCCAGACCCCCTGGAAGATTTGGTCCCCCCCAATGTTGACTCCATGGCTACGGCCTTGCTCAGAATGTCCCCCCTTTATCGACCACCATGCATGTAACATGCGTTATAGGCTGCGGGGCCGACAGTTTGGACAGCGGAGCAACATTCATTATTGCTTCGTACATCTGCAGAGTAACCCACTGCTCCCCTACCCACCTGTAGCCTGCACTGACTAGTATACGTTTCAAACAGGACACAAACAAAAGCCCAGAGACATTGTGCATATATCCAACAACAACAAAATCCTTCAGCAATTCCTGGAACATTGCATTGCAACCTGCTCCACAGTTGTCCATTACTGCATCATTGCGGCTGTGAAGTCGGTCACGTTATCTCGATGGTGATCTGAAATAATAGGACCAAACTGCCCTTCAGGAACTGCTGGTCGGGTTATTTCCCCCCTCCCACCACTATGCACGAGAGCCATGTACCTTGTTTCCAACGTGTATTTTCCAGCCCGTGCTATTATCCTGCAATGATTTACGGGGGTCCCCCCCCACACACACACACACATAATTTACAGATTTGACTAACTGGCGTGGTTGCAGTACGGTCAAATAATCCACCATGACCCCGAAACAGCGTGGGGGGGTTAGACCTTCGCACAGAGATGCATTGCCAAAACGGGGTGGTACGTGTGCACGACACTTGTGTTAGTTTCACACACGTACAGTGTTGTATTGTGTGCGCTATCTGGTGCCACCAGTCCGCCATGAACAGTGCTAGATTTTTGTTCAGCAGTACAATCAGGAGAGCGTACGCATTGTGCACCGGTCCGTGTAATATTTGCGTTGAAGTTGGCTGAATTGTTAACCAATACGCGCTTGTGGAGGCCGGGGAAGGGACGTTTGTGCGCCGATTTACTTCACGAGGCCAACGGAACTTTTGAGGGCTTTTAAGACAGCCGGTAAGATATTAAATCGTGCATTGTTTCAAGCAAGCCTGAACTCGGCTGATGAGACGCTTCGTACGGTGCGAAAGAAGTACGTACATGTCGAAACCGGTCCAGCGTTGCTTGTCCTCAACGCTTGCTGACGTTCACTCCCATAATGCCATGACTGGTCACTGCAAAGGATACTTTAATTTTTGTCCGTGAAGAGTGGGATAGATGAATAAAAGTTATTGTCTGCGTATCTATTCTATAATTAAATCGGGTTCTCAAGTGTAGCCTCCAGTTGATGGGCTCAGCTCGGTTTCCAATAACCACACACACACACACAAAAAAAAATCACGTAAAAATGGGTTTTTCACTTTATTTGGATAAGTTCCAACTCCGGTATTGGTTTGACTGCCATGTGGTGAATATTTTTCCATTACAAGGGGTGTGGGGAAGCGTGCTTAACGATTGTGTTCTGTGGTATCTACTTCCTCGGTCTATTCTGTAACGCGAGGGGTATGCATTGCCATGCGAATGGATACTTTGTATCATGACATGGTGCTGAAAGAATAATTGGAATAAACTTGGGGGGATGGAAGGGGGTGGGGAGGACAAAATAATGACGTATTTAGAGATTAATATTTTACATTTGTAGGTAGTTTAATGTGGTTGTGTTGAATTGCAGTACATTTTCATCACAAATAATAATATGGACGAAACAATATTTAAATTCTGAACACCCATTTATCAAGCTATGTCTAAGACAGTACTGTGCTATAATGTTTTTTGTAAATTCGGCTATTCGTGTGATTAAATTAAGAAAATATGAACAATGCAATTAAAGAATGCAATCAATGGATTAGGTGAGCTTTCCACTAAAGTGAAATATCTGGCATACAGCATACATGTGTTATAAGGAAATCCTTAATATCTGCTCTAATGCTATTCTGGTCTGGGGCGACAGAAGAAAAAAGAAGAGCATTGTTTTTTTTGATCATTAAAAATACCAGAGAAAATCACAAATTGTAAAGAAATCCCACGGGTCATCATTTTCAACAACGTATTTCCAGAAATTGCTGCCAACATCAACTGAAATTCCACCCCCCCCCCCCCCCCAAAAAATCTAAATCAAATCCTTTTTTGCTATTTAACCGTGTTGTGCTAAAAGCCTGAAGAGGAAACGCCGGACGGAAAGTCATCTGAGAAGAGCAGCCCTCGCGGCGACTCTCGGCTTCCCGCAGAATCGCCGAAGAGTCCTCTTTGCGACATATCACCGCCTCTGGGAAGCCCGGCGAGCACCACCAGCGTGGCTCCGCGTCGTGGGGGCACCCACGGCCGACCGGGAGAGGCGGCGGTGTCCCCGAGGTGCGTCAGCGAGCCATCGGGCAGCCCAACAAGCCACGGGGCCGTGGGTGCAAGGAGTGAAGAGGGCAGCCAATCGGAACGGAGCAACCCCAGTCCAGTTGCGGAGGAACGTCTGCCAGAGGAGGCAACTCGGTTGGCGGACGACCCGAAGGATTGGGTACTCACGAGTAGCGCCCTTTCGGTTTGTTCCCCATTGAGGGAATTTAATTGAACATTCTGAATCCCAGTTACTGTACTTTTCCGAGAGCGCCACGGTGCTTGGGTTAGCCGACGCGTCAACTGCAGATGTTCATTACCGCTACAGTGCTGTGATTAAATTGCACAGGCTGGGACGGCTTGCGAGAAGCAACGAAAGCAATTGTAAAATGTGCCAATTAGTGTACCAAGCACTCCCACTAGAGCTCAATTACACACTTTCCCAAAGGTCACAAGATCGTGCACTTCAGCGTTGGGGAACGGCCATTAATAGTTGTCAGTGAACATCAGGTCCTTTCAGTCGGACATTTTCTCGCATGTATTGATGACATTCCTGTTACACTTAAATACCACGTACATGATGATGGGAGTTACATTTTTTTTTACATTTGACGAGTTTAACCAATTTATGGAAAATTGGCATTTTAACGAAGGAAGGAATAAGTGGCGCACGTGCGATGCTTAATATTATTTTCTCTCTCTTTTTTTAAAAGGCTGTGGCACGCGTTCATGAATTAGAAAATGAAATTACGGGTCTGATGGAGAGCAAACAAAGAGAAGTTAAGGCTTTAAAAGAAGAACTCCGATGCTCAAACGCAAGCTGGGAAAAGGCACGTTTTGAATGCTTTCTAAATTGCGATATTTTTTTATGAAAAATAAAAATGTTCTGTTTTTATAGCACATTAATCGAGCAATACAACTCTCACTGGCCATGTGGTTGTGATTTCAAGTGTAAATGCAGTTTTTAAAATACCTGAAATTGCAAAATTTTTGTTTTAGCAGACGCAAATACATGCCTACAATATAAAAATAGAAGACCGTTTCACTTGCAGTAATTTTATGAAGTCAAAAAGAAATGCCGTGTATGATTAGACACACTGCCAACAATTGAATGACCTGTTTTTGGCTTCTGCCCATTAAGATGTACCGCTGTGCCTTGGTAAAGTGGCGGTGGCTTGTGTTGGAAGCCTTAATTGTGCTGATGTGAGGTGTCTGCTTGCCAGGAGAGGCACAGTCTCAAGGAAAAAGTGAACCAGATGGTGCAGCTTCAAAAGTTTGCTCAGAAGGATTTTCAACGGTCAGCAGAAAACAGCCAGGTACAAGCAGCAGCAGCATTGCGCGCAGCCACGTGTCAGCCATCTTTTATTTCTTTCACATTCTGCGTAAACAGGAGTCCAACTTGTTCCCTTCCATCACATGTCTGATCATGGAAACACGGTGATGACAAGGCAGTGCTTTCCAACTGAACGAAGCACGTACTGCATTGGCCAAATGTACTCAAAGCGCGCGAGCAAATTGGTGCCAGTTTGCATTTGGTGCCAGGGGCGGTGGTGCAGTGGTCAACTCACCACGTTATGAAACCGGTGAACTGAGTTTGATTCATTGCCATGGCTAACATCGGTGGCGAGTGATATCTGAACCGGTCCTGAGCCCTCCGGCACCCTTCACCATCCCGCACTGACCAAACGTCGCAAAGTCTGGCTGAACAACCCCCCCCCATTACCAACAGAGCACGGGTAGGCCTTAATGCAGTGGGGGGTCGACAAATGCGGCGAGTATGCAATACTTTGACAGGTGCACCAATAACACCGATTTAAGTTATGCATGTATAAATGTGGAACGATGACATGTACGCTTTCGGAATTTGCTACAGCAGATAGCTGCAGAGTGTGGTAATGAAATACTTTGAGACTCTGTCTCTCTCGGCGGGGGCTTTGAGACTTCTGTTGGCACTGGCCCCTGCAGCTAAGCCTTTTAATCGTTTCCAAACATTGGTGTTCATTTCTGAATATTTTTTTCATCAATGCTGTCATGTATGAAGAAAAATCAATCATGCAGACTTTGGAGCCAAACTATATGAATGCCTTTCCTTGCCTTGGCGTGAGCTTGGCCAAAAGTGAGATTTCAGCTGAACAATTTTCTGGTTGATCAATAAGGTGTTTTATGAGAAGCCAAAGTTTGTTAAAAACGCACACTGTATCCAAACGTTCCCCTCGCACAAATAACCACCCTCTTTGCCCCCCTTTTTTTTGCTGTGAAATTTGTTTCAGATCTTTAAATCGTGTTTGTACTATGCGAGGTATTTCCTTTGTTGCCCAGATGCTGAACTCTGCCATTTGTATATGCCCTTGGTCCCCTAACCACGTGTCACGGCCAACTGAACAGTGCTGCTTATTGATAATAAAGAAAAAATGTAAAGAAAAAAAAGTGTGAGCCCCTGCAATTGCTTGGGGCGCCACAGTGGCGAGATGTTAACTACCTCACCTGGTATACAGGAGGTTGTGGGTTCGATCCCGACACCTGTTTATTCAGAGTTTACATGTTTTCCTCGTGGTCACGTGGATTTTTCTCTGGGTCCTCCGGTTTTTCCCTCCACATTTAAAAAGATGCGTTTAGAGTATTTTGCTGCTATACATTTCCACACGATAAGCCACTTCGTTGAGCTATCATTTGTGGCCAGGTCGCTTCTGGAAAAGACATATATGGCTGATTGGGCCTTACCTGGTAAAATAAAAAAAAGTTTGACTTTAATTCCCTTGTTCATGCCACTGCTGGCAGGAGGGCCCCCCGCTTGAGTGAACGTTAGAGGGTATTTGGGCCACCCTTCCACGTCGATCAGATATGTTGGAAGAGGTGGGCGTATCCACGCATTACCCCACTGCAACCAACCATGGTGTATCCACTACACTTCTGGGTGGGCGGACGTGGAGGATTTAAGAAACTCGTCCTATCATTTCATATAAATCTGATGATCTTTGGATTACAAGTCCAGCATGCTACCCAATTTCACCACGACAGCTCCATTTGCTCATTGACACCTCCACTCGGATGTGCAGTCCTGCAACGTATATTTGTGGCTGCATTAGGCCAGCATATGAAGAGTAAAGGCTGTTTAAATATGTTCAGCTTGAGGGGCCAAATTTTTTTCATTTAAGTTTATAATAACTGCTGTCAGGAAGCATGTTTAAAAATGGTTTCATATAAAATATTGAAGTAATGTAGTTACGTTTGCTTTTTAAGTGGAACGTGCATGGTTTGAATTTATACGGATATCACGTCGGAGTATTTTTTTGTGATTTAAATTTAATATATGGTGAATGAGCACAATTTTAATTTTAGTCATTATGTTTCATTACCATTTTGGCAATGGCTAAATTGTCGACCGAAGCACATGCGTCTCTGCTATATTCTGGACAGGCCCAGGCTGCTCAAACTAAAATCGCCGTCGCAGTATTTGCCAACATTCTTTGAGTGTTGAATATTGCACTGTTTCTTGGGTCTGCTAATTTTCTTGCACCAAAAATCTATTGAGTTGTCCTTTGGCAGTGAGGCCATCTAAATGTTTTTGGTAATGGGATCCATGCCGTGGCCAGCTTTGCAGTTGGGGACCAATGTAAAAGTTTATTTGTAAAAATATATAAAATAGTATGCTTTTATATACCATAAGCCACCTACCAGTTTCAGAGGAGGAATAGAAGACATGATGGTTAATGTTTTCTTACTTTAATTTTAAAAAGGTTATAAACAGGACTTTACCTTTATTCATCAGGTGGCATTTTATGCATCGACAGAAGATATACGGAAAAGAGAATTCTGAGCCATTAAAAGCCAAAACTGAATTTTTCACATCTGGCAAATGAGAATACAGTGTTGCTGGTTTACACATTTCACTCAGCTAATATGGCTATCATGATACCCTGTACAGTGCAATATAGGATACCTTAACAGGTGCTCACCCATGCCTAGTTTTCACGGACAGTCAACTCTAAGTCAACTTTAGTGCACTCGAGTTGGCCAGAACACGAGTCAAAGGACAAATCACGTTGGTTAAAAAAAAAGTTCCTGGTGACTCAAGTCTCCATGCCAGTTGGGCATGTGAGTTAAAGCTCTAAAAGATTGCAATACTGCCAAATGTATTTTTTTTACGTTAATGTATATGTAAAATGAAATGTTCCTTTTGCTCGTTCACATTTTTGATTGTGCTCATGACATATTTTGCTTAAATTTACCCTCGGCCTGAATTCTAATGCAAGGAATTCGGACTGGCCCGTGATGTGAAATGGGCCCCCTGTCTAAAATGGCGGCCAACTGGAATTGACACAAACACACGGAGAGGCTGTGGGGGTGCTTGCGTTGCTTGGCTCGCGAGGCAGACAACGCGAGCAAGTACTGCCGTTTTCTGGCTCGTGAGCATGCACAACGCGGGCACGTGCTCCTACAACGTGAGCACGTGCAACGCGAGAACATAAAATGTGAGCACGTGCTCGCACGTACTCGCATTATATGTGCTCGCGAGCCAGACGATGCGAGTACGCAATCGCGTTGTCTGGCTTGCAAGCACGCACAATGCGAGCACGTGCTTAAGTTATCTGGCTCGCGGATATGCAGAATAACAGCGATTTCTTCAAAAGTTTATCTGGGCTACTCACGGCGAACGTTGCGTAAGTTCTGGACAGTTGATCTTTTACTTCAATTTACCCCCCCCCCCCCTCTTTAGACAGCAGTGTGTTCCTGGAATGCATGGACACACATGAAGAGTGATGCCCTCATGAGAGAAAAAAGCTCCTCTGCAGGAACTAAATACGAGCAATCATCTTCTACCCTGACTGGTGAAACAACTGCACCCTTTGCCCAAGACTGTCCTTCCTGTAAGTGGATACGTGTTACACTTGGTTAAAAAAACAATATCCTAAGCTTACATTGGTCTTCAGTGTTCATTTTTCAGTAACACACACATGAGATTATTTCATTTTTCACAAACTGTGCTCAGCAGGCATGCATGGAAAGACTGAGGCACTCGTGCCTGCTGTGGAGCCTGTGTATCAAGAGTTCCTCAACGTCTACAGCTGTACCATGAACCTCAAGGACAATGTGGTGGAGTTGCTCGTCAACAGGGGTCAGTGAACGTCACCTAAGCCAACATGCAAATGTACAGATTTTACAAATTTTGTTCCTGTGCTATGAAGAAGGGCCATTGATCAAGACGTCACTGATTCTATATCCTCTTTTGTTTTATCTTTGAGGGGAGTGTTATTGACGATTGTCTATTCTGGTCCAGAAAAAGGTAATTTCTCTTATTTCAGTTTGACGATGATCATTAAGGCCTAGATACATGATGTGATTAATGGGAGTGCTGGAACACCTCTATTTAAGACCAAAACAGGAGGATTTCGCCACAACTCTGGCTGTCCACCTGATCATGCTCGTTGTAATTACTGGGCGAAACGTTGTACTCGAATTGTAAAGCTTGTGGGTTTACTCTGCAACATGCAGGTGTGCTGAACTAGAAACGAAATGGCATGTTTTGTTTACTTTGAAAAGCCCTTCTTAATTGGCTGCGTTGGGTAGTGGCAGGTTTAACGACACATTTATATTAACGCGATCTAATCCAAAACATCTCTATTATGTATTGTGTGAAATGCTATCGAGTGCAATGCTGCAGTCAATAATTTTTGAAAACAAAAAGCAAACACACCCATCCACATACATACACATGTATATACACAAACAACCACATATATATACATTCACGTAGACACACACACACAAAAAAAATCGCCTTTTTTGGCCTATGAAAGACTTTTGGGGGCGCAAGTGCTGATAATAAACGTACAACTTTGCGTGTTAAAATTGCTATCTGCTTGTCCAGGAATGGCTTCGGCAGCATCTGGCCTTCAAGTGGTGCAGCACTTGGCAGTTGGAGCTGCTGAAGATCTGTTTGTTCAGGCTCAGTCCATGAGCAGTTCCATCCAGACCATTCTCAACGAAACCACCGGCGGTAATTACCCCCTCATCACTAACATGTTGGTACAGAACAAATGTTGAGTAGAACACCACTGCAAGAGGTCTTTTTTTCACAGCCGCGTGTGTCGCCCTTCGACGTGTCACCGGGGGTTTTGCCTCTGCGGTGTTTGGTTGATATTAAAATGTTTTGCCTTTCCATGCTTAGCACCCTGAGAACGATTGTTGAAGGGCGCTTCATAAATTGTAATTATTATTTGGCACACGTGCTGACAGCTTCTTCAGGAATTCAGTTCCTGAAAGAGCTCCCCAATATACGGAGTGAAACGTCGGCCATCGTGCCAAACATCATGAGGAACAACTCGTAAACACTACGGAAGGCTATTTCGTATAATTTTTCACCTTTACCTTTCTCTCCATTTCAGTCATTATCAGTCTGCTGAATGAAGCCACAATTGCAATGGAATCGCTACCCCAACAAAGAGGGAAGATGCTTGAAGACGACACCCATGACCTTACGCTTGGTTGTGAAGATCCATGCTTTCATCGTGACTGTGAGCTCCCAAATGCTGGGTCTGTGCAGGGTTCTGTGAACGTAACGGAAGATGGCCTAAAAATGACAAGCTCTCTGGAGATGATATCCAGCTTCGGCTCGACGCAGCGAGTTTTCAGATCTACCTCGGTGTTTGGTGATAGCTCAGATGAGAACTCCGTTAAGCAGTTCCCGGTCTCGAATGTGAAGGTGGTTTACCCTGCACTGGGAATCGAGGAGGCACAATCATCCGAGGGATTTTTGCAGGAGCGGGTGCATTTCCTGTGAGTTGCGTGCAAAGTCTGTGAGATGTGACTGCGATGGAGTTGATCATCGTCATGATCATCAGCCACGATCAATCCATGGATTAAGGTTTCCCCAAGCCGTCACCAATTTTCATAATCCTGTAATGTAGTAATTCACCAAGCGCCTACACACGAGCGGATTTCATCACTCCTTCTCCTCGGGTTGACATCCTCATGGACACATTCTATTGCTCGGCTGCCTCTCCATCATCATTCTTGACCATTGGCCATCTCCATCCTTTTTTGCCCAAGCCTTTCTTAACATTTTGAATGATGCCATTTATCTGCGTAAACTTATTCTCTAATCCACATGTTCCTCTTCCTGTCTCTCAGTGTAATTCCAAGGATGAATCTCTCACTTGCTTATTTGCACACCTTTCAACTTTCGTTTCATTTTATATGTTAATGACTGTGTTTCTGAGCCGTTTGTCATAGCAGGTGGCGCGATCTGATTCAGTTGTATCGCAAGGAGAAAAAAAATCGTACATATGGAACAGGAGCCTAAGTTTGATTGTGAAAGTTTGGGGCCCAAATGAAATGTTTTTACCTTTTTTTCCCCTATCACAGAGAACAAAAACTCGAGGGCAAACAGCTGGAATTGGACGAGGAGAGGGAGAGGAATTTGAAACTTGTCGCAGAGCTCCGGAAGCAGATACGTGCCCTGCAAAGGGTAAGTTGCCTGTCAGAAAGACTTAGCCACAAAACAATCTTTGCAGCTGTTTTCTATATAAACTAAAATGAAATTATATAAATAGTAGAGTATCCGGGTTTAATATGTGTAAATTGTGACTGCCAAAGTCTTCTTAATTGTTTAATGTGGACCGGAAATCTTTCCTGCGATCATAATTCCTTTAACGTGAGCACTTCAACCAACCAACTGAAAAACACAATGTGTGCTACAGTATTAGCAGTCGTATTTGAATATGAATGTACACTAGCTGTTGTGAAGCTGCAGTGCCTTTAAATTAGAAGGTGACTTTTGTCATCCAATTCACCCTTTCCTCTTTAATCAGTGTTTGATTTGATAATTCTGTTCAGCATTTATTTAATACAATTTTCAATCAAATATTGTTTTCTAATTGTTTCTATGAAAATCACAGTTTGTTGATTTTTTTAATGTTTGAGGAGTATATAATCGGACATGTATTTCACCAATGTGGCCTACTGTTATTTGTTTGAGGTGTGTGATGGCTTGTGGGGGGAGTGGGTGACGTACTTACCTGCATCTTCCCCCGATCACCTAAACCGCCTTTCTCTGAGCTACATAACTCGAGTGTCCATCCCAGAAGCACGTATCCATCGTTTCTTTTTTTACTCAAGTTCACTGTGAATTAGAACTGCAAACCAAATTCTCTGGGCCGAAATTCCCTACCCCAGAATTCTGGCCAAATGGAAAATACATCACCAAATATTTGACACGAAAAAATGTGATGGGCGGCCAGGACATTAAATGTAACTTTAAAAATTAACATGTATTTTTTTAGTCAGCATGCGGCCTTGACATTGTTTTGCCATCATCATCAGCCATGGTCAATCCACTACCGGATAAATGCTTCCCCAAGCTGTCTCCATCTCTCATGACACTGCGACGAAATAATCCATCGAGCATCTGCACACGAGCTGAATTCATTGCTCCGTCGCCTTGTGATTTTATGCACACGCATTTCTTGGAAAGTCTTACTCGGAACTCATTCTGGGAAAGGCCTACACAACTGGTGTGATAACTCGGCAAATCATGGAAACGTAATTTTTTTTTTGCCAACTGTAGTTATCTGTCTTGCGTTCTTGGAGACATCAGGTTAGCTGGGGCCAGCATGGGTTGATTTGGGTTGGCTGTCCAATGGAGGCAGGCTGCCAAAGAGCATCTTGTTGCAGATAGCAAGACATTGCATGCATGAGAACCGTTGGTTCCATGCCTTACAAATATTTCAATTATTACCAAAGCTATTTGGTATTTTTGCTTTAAATTCCAATAATGCTTGTCATTGTCAAAAATGTATATTGGACAGTCTCCATAACTAACACAAGTCCTTCCTCTTTACTTCTGCTCTTCGACCAACTACCTCTTAAGAATATACACACACATATATATATTAGATGTAAAACTGTCTACAATGATCCATATCAATGCTACATCAATCCAAATTGTCTTGTTTTTGGGATAGAAAGTGCTTAATGGTGGTGTGTGTGCGTTTGACTGTGAGCAGAGTGCACTCGGAGACAACGCTTGCTCGCCTGAGGACCCAACCTCAGCTCAAATCTTCGAGTCCATTGTCTTCTTCACCCGGACCGACATGGAGCACAATGTTCGAAAGCTACGGCGAGGATTTTACAACGAGAAGGTCCAAAGAGGCCATTGTGAGGTAAACGCATGACCAATAATTCTTGAATTTCGATTTAAAGCTTTCGTGACTGCAGGGATTCATCTTCTTGGTTCTTTCGGTAAAGTCACGTAGAAGGGAAATAATACAATAATAATAATAAAACATAATAAAATAATTCTCACGACGTTTCGGCCACAACGCTGCTTGCTGCTTGCGTTGTGGCCGAAACGTGAGAATTATTTTATAATGTTTTATTTTTATTATTTTATTATTTCCCTTCTACGTGACTTTACCGAAATAACCAAGAAGACAATAATTCTTGCTGACGATTTTCACCGGTAGGTGTGTGTGTGCTGGGGGGCCATGAATATTAAAAAAACAGGGAGTCCGCAGCGTTCTGTTCTCGCGCGGATTGCCGACACTAGGATGCGATGAGTGCGATGGAGAAGATTGTGGCAGCGCAAAGGAAGAGGCTGGTGATGATGGCAGAACGCTACGTCGAGCACGTCAACATGAAGAGGATCCGGGACAACGTCTCGAGGAATTACAGCGACTCGCCGCCGGTGTGCGCCCTGTTGGGAAGGATGGAAACTCTGCAAAGCAAGGTACTGTACTCTGGCCATTCACAATAATAAAGAAAACAAGCATGATGCGTGTCGGGAGCGTATTTGTTTCTTCTTCATTCAGCTACTTTTAAAAACAGGTGTGAAAGATGCTTTCCTGTTTTTTGTACTTTTTTTGCTGAGAATTATTTCGGGAGAGGTTGTCGGTTGGATGTCCTGCATTTCCAGCGACACGGGCACTGGTCCAAGCAGATGGCCGAGCTGAGCACGTCAAGAATGCGTGCGGTGGAGCAGCTGACTCGCACACTGTGTGACATCGAGGAGGAGAGTGGACTGTTTCTTATTAGGCCGTACCTCTCCTGGGCAAGCAGGTAAGAGTAGTTGCAAAGGTTCCATCGTGTGCATCGGTTGTCATAGAAACAGTATTTCTTAATAAAGTAATAAGTAATACATATGGTATTCTCCGGATTGCAAGACCCTCTGGAAATTATGACCCACCCCGAACGTATGTTCGGGGTGGGTCATAATATGTTCATGTACACACCTAGCAGATTATAAGAGGCACCCGTAAGCCAACTTTTGCTTTAAAATACTGTACAGGAGGGAAAAAAGTGCGTCATAACCCACATTATTATTATTACGCCACTAATTTTAATATAATATTCAATGGAATATTATTGTGTTTTGTTTTGTCGGTCAGTGTCAAGTCCAGAAATTCAAAATGCAAAAAGGTGACGCATCAGCCTCTCGCGGAGAGACGGTCGAACGCTTCGATTGTATTCTCGAATCCACCTCCCTCACCTGCAAAGTCGAATCCAGTCTCCTTGCAGGTAATGACAAAAATACCATCATCTTTTGCTCCTTCAATGCTATGCTGTGTTTTTGTTTTGCTTTTTGTTGAAATGCAACTATTCTGATTGTGTGTGTGTATATATTTTATTTCAATGTTGGAAGCTAAATAAAATAAATGAAAACAACTAATTTAGTCGCTGCACCTCAAGCACCATTGCCGATCCTCACTTTCACAGTTGTTTTCATTTATTTTATTTATTTTTTTACCTACGTGACTTTACCTAAAAAACCAAAGAGTATAGCTAGTGATGTCATTGTGTATTGGGTCGTATGAAAGATCCAGCAAAATGTATTTTCTGTAGCACATCCGCACTGAAGTGGTTCTGCACTTAATTTGGCAAAATTCCGTCTCAAAGAATGAAGTGTCAGTTTGAGTATCGTGTGACGACCATTACACCCATACACTGTGGGACAGTGCTGCCCTCCCTTGTGTGGACCAGAGGTTGCTTCAATGGATCTCGGAGGTAGCGCTTTGATACCCGCTTCTGTGGGCCGTTCTCTCATATGAATTGTTGCACTGCTGTGATGGCGTTCTGAATATATACTTAGCTTCACGGCTCGACGCCCATAGTACAATTGGGATAAAATGTGGAGAAAATGGCCCAATAAAATGTGAAAATAATTTGGCATCATTGTGTCAATGATCAGTATCGACCCCCTCTCCCTACCCCCGCCCCTGCCTAAGGAATATAAAACTTCCACCGATGGGTCAAGAGTTGCTAAGAGCACTACCCGACATGAGCTTTGAGCATGAACATGAATAGCCTATCACTGCCAAATGGTCGGGAGATATTTTTCTTGCATTTGATGATCTATTGTTTACAGGGACATGGTGAAAGCAGCCTCCATGTCCAGGGCTCTTGGCCTTCACAGGGTTTACATTCTTCCTCCCTGAAGCTGGGCAATGCCTGCAAGAGAGGTCATGGGTCATCATTGTCATCGTTGGCCAGCAGTCGCTGCACCTCAAGCACCATTGCCGATCCTCACTTTCACAAAAGAAGCCTCCAGAAGGCCCCCTGCCAGCAGCACCTTGTGAGGTTCGGAAAACCCAAGCGTTAAAACTCCAACACACCGGTGTGCTGAACCAGTAACCAATTGGAATGTTTTGTTTACGTCACAAACGTCGCTAATTCGATGCGTCGGGTGGCGGCGGGTTTAACGACACATTAATATTTACGCGACCTAACCCAAAAAAAAACATCTATGGATTAAAACTCCTTTGTAGCTTTCCAGTGTATTGAGGGCTGTTCCTCACGTTGTTCGTCATGATGTCCAACGTTTTGCTCAAAATGCTGGGAGCTGCTTCAGCAGTCGAAACGAGTTGCTGAAAAAGCTCCCAGCAAGGGGAGCGAAATGTCGGACGTTGTTCCGGACAGCAAGCAACATAACAGGAAAGATATATACCGGGGAGCCATTCAGCACAACTGTGAACACTTATTTCGGATTATCAAAACTCCCTTAGCAGTTTGCTGCTTGAAGTGTCGTTATGGAATAACCATTCATGGACTATGTGTGCAGCCCAAGACTTTCTCCTGGTGGGGCAAAGATACCGACGGGATGCCAAGATGACGAAAGTCGACGTCTTCAGATATTTATAAATTCTGGGCAAACGACTGCATGCCAAGCAACGCAGCTGTTCTTCGTCAAGGGTAATTTACACTCTGAGCTGATGATTCACTTGATATTATTAATAATGTGTGTAATCTGTGTGAGAGCATTTGGCTAGCTGAGTTTAATTAAATCACATTTGTTGTGTTTTGTAAATTGAAAGCAAAAAATATAGTGAGTCGTGCAAACTGGAATGTTTGAGCAATTTTAAACCGACCTAATTGCAAGATGGGGCATTTTTCACACAAGAAACATTGCATGCACTTTTAATATTTGTTTTCTTTTATTGCCTCCTACAGAGAAAAGCTCCCAGCGCACTTTGCCACCATTGCATGTGCTCGCCGACTTGGAGCCAAATAAGGACACAACGCCGTGTTGATGGGTGGCCAACGTGGATATATCCCTTGGAGCCGTCGGCTTTCAGAGTAAATTAATAACACTTTGAATGACGATTTTAAAGAATGCGGCATTGACGATGGGGAAGTTTGTGTGTGTGTGTGCATACACGGCGAACTTGGTCAGCTTACGTAAGGTAATGTTCTCGCGTTGCGAACTCACTTTTTTCCTGTGTAAGCTCTTCCAACCTTGGTTGCACTTGCACGACGTTTTGACAGAAAACCTTGACAAGAGGTACCTGGTGCAAACCCCTAAGTGGAAGTTTAGTTCCAACCCCTCCAATCTCCAGTGGGTTTGGCCAAGTGGGCTACACTAGCACATCACACCTACATCTCCGATTGGCACGGTTGGTTCCATATGGTGCGAAAGAAGTTCAACACACATACGTACATGTCATTCCCAACTGCCAAGCATAGATTATTTAACACGGCTTACTGTGGTAGTGGTAGCCGAGTAATTAGGGCACTGCACGGACATTTTTTGGCGACCTGGGTTGGACTCCTATCCATGCATGACATCAGTGGAGTGAGGTATCAATGTATCTGCCATGGGCCTCTGCTCCGTTATTTAATTCATGTGAATACGATGAATGAGGAGGAAGGTGGACAAACTCCATAACCCATTATGTGCTTAGACCAGGGGTCGGCAACCAAAATAACAAGAAGAGCCATTTCTTTCCAATTCGGTACAAAATTCAGTATTTCAAGAGCCGCAATGCATCTGAGTACATACGTACTCATCGTCAAGAAGCAGCCCGTAAAGAGCCGCATGCAGCTCCGGAGCCGTAGGTTGCCGACCCCTGGCTTAGACCAAGTGTTGCTCAGTACTAGCATTTGCCTCCAAAACCTATCAATCCGCTTCCACACATGAACAATCATTTCTACAACCAAATGCTCTTTAGGTCACCTGCAAAACCGCTTTGTCTGCATCAGAGTGAGTAGTCAGAATCGGCATCTTTAATTTAGACTGCAAGAGGAGGAATCCGATGAGCTACGAATCTCTTTTCAGCAAACAATGACAATTAAAGGATGGGATTGCCAAGATAGAGACCAAGGTAAGCCAGTCACTGAATGGTAGTTGCATGACAAAGGATTTTAAACGGTGGTATTCAACATTGTAACGAGCAAATCGAAGTGCGCAAATGTGCAGCACGCGATCAACTGCATTGCGACATATCGCTGAGCAGATCACTGGGAAAATGCCCGTGTCCACTGTGAGCAGCCGTGAGCGACTGATTGCAGAGACGTCCACATATAAGCGATTCAGTTGCATGCAACCGAGTTTTTGCCGTTGATTGCTTGGTTGTGGACCCAGTTGCTTAAGATTATTCATATATGAAGGGTTGTCATAAAGTTTTTAGAAAAATATACAAAGCATTTTCATATTCTATATCTGAATGATAATTTTCATAAAAAATGCTACATTGAAACAGTATGAAATAGAGCATACATTTTGAATGCCTTTTCTACATAACTCTCAAAATTTGTACATCTTGTATACATTTGTTTGTGCAATATCATCATCAGTCATGATCAATCCACTGCTGGATGAATGCCAATACAAGCCATCGCTTGTGGAGGCATTTTCACAAATACTATCAATAATATATAAAATTCTAGATTTGAAGTTTTCGTGACTGCTGGAGCGGTCACACCTGATAACGGATGCTTGTGTTGCTTCCGAAACGTCGTGATTTAATTTAGTTGTTTTATTTTATTTTGTTTTCACCTACGTGGCTTTACTGAAAAAAAACCAAAGAGTAATATGTAAAATTACCATCCTTCTTATATATACAGCGATGTCGTTTTTCAGCTTATTGATTTTTGCACTATCAGTCTCAAAGTAAAATTGGCGATTATTATTTAGTTTCACTTGGAAATGTTGACTTTGGCTGGCCTTCTTCAAGCAAAAAAAGTGTGTACGCATGCCTTTAAAGCTTCTAATTGGATAACTAGCGTATACATGCGTTGCTGTTGACATGCTGGTCAGATGGGAAATGCGTGATTAATTTTCAGGGCATTTAAATGCTCATTGCAAGTGTAACTATAATGAAATTAAATCGTGGTCATTTCTTCAGATTAAACGTTTTGTTCCCCTAGGTGTGTGGAATCATTTCTGAAACGAGACCACACTTAGACGTGAAAAGCAATGGCTTTTGTTTAGCACCAATGCTGACTGATGCAGATATAACATCGGCCGAATGGATACCGTGGGAATGATATTTTTGGTTCCATTTTCCTTCACTGAAAGTTTCACAGTTGAATAACCAGAGAATGCAACTGTTGACCATAGTGTCTGCGTGTGCAATTTGTGAAGAGGCAGAAATTCCGTGCATTTTTCGCGCTCGGGTAATAATTGTACGGGGTTTGCATTCGTGCGCCTTAATTTGCGTTGATTTTTTTGTCGTTGTGGAAAATTGATACTCCTTTTTGTTGGCAATTGGGTGAATTGTACTGTAATTGCCATGACATTCGGGGTAACCTAATAGCTTTGCAGCAGCATCTCAGGTACACGCAAAAAAACGCGTGCTAATCATCGTAATGGTTTCTTGTCACCACGGTTGTGGGAATTATTGTCTCGGCTACATTTAAAGCAAGGAAACTAAAACGTAAAATGACGTAAAGTTACATTTTTTCGAACATATTTTTTGCATAGTTTTTGGTTTATGTCATATGTACCATGTCTTCTTGTATATTAGTAAGATGTTATTTTGCATCGAATATGTTGTACACACCTAGTACATGTAATTAAGCTTTTGTTAGCAAAACGAACACACGTAGTTGTTTTTCATCTCTTGTTTAAAATGATTATGAAATATTCAATGCCATAGGTGCTACTTCTATTTCTATAATAATACATCGCAATGTTTTTAAAGCTTTTTTAAAATGATGAATTTCATATATCACTGGCATGAACTCAACTAAAATGTCTCAGGAGCCCAAAATGTATTATATTACGTTAATTAATTTTACAAATTGTATAGCTGTTCAAAATGGCTTGCGTATTTTTTTTTATTTGGCTGCCATGTGGGTATTAATTTTAAGACCATATTGATGATGGTGCCAAAATACATACAAAACGCTTTTTGTTACTTTGGCCAGTGTGAGGACACTGGAGACGAATTGCATAGGAAACAATACTTGCATTGATTTTTTTTTTTGCTCGTAAACATGAATTCGGTAAGTATAAACCCATCTGCACAACTTGTTTAGCAACGAGCAGTTGTTTCTGTTGTGAAATAATACGAGACACAATATGGGTTTACTCTGGGACCTCAGACATTTGGAATTTGAAATAAAGTGAATAGGGCCTTAGGCCCTCGCCAGTCATTCAATGTTTTCTGGTATTTTGACCACAAGGACGATTGTGTTTTGCACGAAGGACTTCTGGGGATGCTGGGTTGTGGTGGGGGGAGGGGAGGGGCGGGGGCGCTTTTGGGGGTGGAAACGAAGCACAGGTCAAGTTAGGTTGACCTCTTAATTTTGGATGTTTTCTAAATGATGTCATGCCACTGCGTCCGACCTTGTAAGGGTTGATTACAAACTTTTTTTCAAGCGTTGCGCTTAAAAAATTCCATATGGTTTGGTTTAAGTTCTGTGTCTGACGTTAAATGGTACGCACTTAGTTTTCTCGAGCAGAAGATGGCATGTGCTTCAGACGTATTTTGTGGCTTTACTTGTCTCATTATGCACGACTGTAAATGAATACACAACAGAGTGTCTCACCCGAAATCATAACAGTGATTTGTTCTTTTGTCTTTCAACAACATAAAATCGTTTTGACGCACGCTCATGTTTGTGTTCTTCCCTTCGTTTGACCGACGTTTTCAGCACATTTAATTTTCACGCATTTAAATGTTTGTCCTCTCGTACAAAGTGTAATCGCTTATCTCAGTGTGTGCAACGTGCATTCCGCAGAGCCACCAGATGGCAGCAGTCCATAGCGATGAGTAGCAACAATGTGCTCTGGAAAATTGCTGCGATGAAAATTCAATTCAAAATAAAGTCATTGAGTTATAAAGTTACGTGTTTGCAGATTATACATGCTAGTTTTTCTTTCGGCCAATCGTTGATGATAAAATGTTTACATACAGTCAAATAAATGTCATCTCTGGGAAGGGAACCGTGTTATTCTGCGATCGGCTATAAACTACCACATTAGTCATGTTAACAATCAGTGCTGCTCTCGTACGAGGCCTGAAATGATTTTTCGAGTGGCTGACTACGGGTCAGATGTAAGCTGTCTTAATGTATAATATGACTTTAATAAGTCCCTTCATATTGGCAGTCAATTGCCTTGACGGACATGCCTCACACTTTCTGCTGTGCAAACAGTGTATGTAAAACAAGCGCATATTTTACCTCGGAGGCATAATCATCGCATGAAGTGTTTGGTTAAGATTTTTCCCTCGTTGCATACTTGTGCAGCACACGAGAAACAAAATTAAAAACAAGCGGTGGAAAATTATATCTCTCTGCTTCACTTCACGGTCGGGTATTTATGTTGCTAATGCAGTTCTTGTCCCTGTGTACAACGTTAAGCCCACCGCTGTAGCTACGGAAACGAAGTGAGTTGGTCTGTTTGGAATTTCCCACCCCTGGGGGTGGGTCCGCGGATTGACTGCGGAATGTGATGCGATCTCTGTGAGGCTTTCTGCACGTGGTTGTGGGGGTCTAGACGCTGCAGCAGAGGCGAAAAAGGAGCGAAAGTTTCGCTCTTGGGATGCCACGGCCGTGCCGCAATTAAGGCTGAATGCAGCGTTGATGTTGGCTATAAAATGTTTGCTTTTTTTTATTAACTGTTACGGGTTTTTAACATGTTTATTTTGTCCGAGCAAAGATTCCAAATTGGAAGCCGCTTTTTGGAAGAAATTCCTGCAGTGTCTGTACAATTGCGGTACAAAGTTCCGCGAGGGAAATTACAGAACATTATTTTGGCGAAAGGAACGGTCTGATTAAAGACATTAGAGGCGCATGAAGAAAAAAATGTGCACGGATGACATGTTATTTATTCACAAGCAAACCCAAAGATTTATCGAAGAACATGGAAAGCCTCACAAATCAGATTTCATCATTCAGCTTTAAAAAAAAACTGTATTATCATTGGAATTTAATTTTCGTGGGTCAGACCTGACCTAAGTGTGATTGGAATTGCAGGAATTAAAGTGTGTAAGTGCCCAGTGTTAATTGGTTTTAGTCCCCCCTTTTACTGGTCTGGAATTTATCTAAAAACTTGACCCGTAATCTCATGGCATCTGGCGGGCTCTGCTGCGCACCAGTATGTGACTTCGCTTGACGTAACCCTTTAAAAAAAACCCCACTGCATTCATTATTCCTTTTGATGTCATTCTCTTGAGCATTGGAAGATAATAGGATCCATGCATAAAATACTGAACACGTTCATCAATAACACCGACTTAAGAGAAACATTTATAATAGGTGACGTATCGGGCAAAGGCCCTCCTTCATAACGGGCCACTGACCCAAAACGTCACCTATTGAGGCAGTGCTATTGACGAGCAAGGCTTATTACTTGTGCTTTGTGCACCACTTCAAAGGCTGTATCGCCAAATTTCATGCATTAAAAAAAAAGTTTATTTTATTTGCACCAGGTATATTAAAAAAATGCTAATATTTCACATTGCTGTTGTAAGAGGTCACTGTTACTGCCATATTTACAAAAAATATTATTAGCCAAGCGTTGGAACGTGTTTGGAATGCATCATTTAACTATCTCCACAGTATTTAATAATTTAAAACGTGCTTGTTATGCCATGCTATAATGGCCTGAGTTGGGATTTTGTTTAGAAATAACTACAGAAAGCAAATAAATGCAAGCCCACATGCATGTCAACCATTTGCAACAAATGTCACACAAAAATGAACTGAGTAGACACATAGCAGCGCTGCATTTTTCCGGGGCACACTACGTGGTGTAGAGGAGATACATTATTTGGTGATATTGGCAGCGGTGCACCAGCACAAATAATAATAAAAAAATAACTCAACACGTTCATCAATCACACTGCCTTCAAAACAGAGGCCAGAGATGTAGGGTTGGTCTCTGTATCTCACTCTACCTCTCGGGATAGTTAGGGTTACTCAACCTCTACAGCCTCTATCTGCTGTGAAAAAGGGCCATTACCACGATCTACTTCTTTTTCTTTAAAAAAAATGTTTTGACAATTTTTTTGAGTTTTTTGTGGAATTTGGGAGTATGTTGTACACAATGCTGTAGTCGCCTGGGCCTGGTGTTTTAACTTTCTTTGGCCAATAAAGAATTATGTTCTATAGTTTACACACACATTATTAGTTGGGTAGGTTATCTTAGTTACCTCCCCCCATCCCAATAAAATGTAAAGTTTCAATTGCATCACTCTTTGTCTGGGTTTGCCTCTCATGCATCATCAGCATTATTACATAAATTTCACCACTCGTTTTGTCAAGTAACCAGTCCCGTCGCGTTCTGATGTTTTTTATTATTATTATATATGTTGCATTTTCTTCGATCCTTTTACATTTTATATACCATGTTCTGTTTAGTGTATTTTTTTACTGACCGGTGCTAAATGTGCACCTGCTAACATTATATATAGAATGCTGCCTTTGTGTTGATACCTGTGGTGCCATATGCATTCATTTAAAACGTCAGCAAATTTCACTCCCGATCGCAGTGTTTTCAGGGCGAGCACACCTGCACATTGTTGGCTCATAATAAGCACAGTGGAGGGGTTAAATTAATAGCATGTGCAAACATTAAACAGTTTATTTTGGACGCAGAGGTCGGTAAGTGGTTAAGTCCTCATTACTACCTGTAGAGGTGTTGTGGCAGGGTTCTTAAAATGTCTATAGCTGCAACGACAACAAAAATAGTTGGAAAGATGTGCGGTTTTTTTCTCCTGCGTGTGGTCCAAATTCCGTGTAGGTGTGCCACAGACGTGTGAAGATACATCTCTTGGATAATTAGCGTAACCCGCATTGTTTCGAGATAAACATTTGTACTCAATCACAGTTGCTTTTGAATTGGTTCTAAACGTCCTGGCATGTATCGCGCTTTGCTTTAAAAGAGACGTGCCTTACTCGATAAAAACGTTTTCTTCGGTACTTTTTCGGATGTGATATCCATTGCTGTGCACCCCCTCTCAGCTTTACATTACACGAGGGCATTGTGGTATATGCACGTGCATTCATAATAATCAGCATTTTTTTCTTCATGTGCCTCTAAATAGAGGGCCCATTATATGTAAGTTAAATATAATGATTACAAATTGCACCTGCACTTTGCAATCGTGAATTAGTCTGAGTAATTTCTGCACTGCGTACAGAATGGGCCATTTGTGTATGCCGGTCAGGTGTGGCACAGTGGAGAGTAAAATTGGTTTCAAAAATTCAACATTTGTTTAAAGGGTATAAGATTAATCAATGTAGGGATGCACAGAAATTTGTTTTACATATGGCAAGCTTGCAATGTGGTGAAGGTATAGATAAAGAGAAAGTTAGGCACCTAATCTGTGCATAAAAGGAAATTAAAGCTGAAGTTTATTTATTTGCACTCATAGTAATATCAAAAAAGATATAAAACGATCTGCAATACCACAGACAATGGAACACTTGACTTTGAGCATGAAACAGACTATGAAGTATTAATGGGATGGTACAAAATGTATTGTGTTGTAATAGTGAATTGTGGGTAATGATATCTCTTTTAACATGTAAAGATCTATCGGCACTTAGAAGGGAAGTAATAAAATAATAAAAATAAAACGATAAAATAATTCTCATAAATTACTTAATTACTTCCCTTCTACGTGACTTTACCGAAAGAACCAAGAAGATGAATCCCTGCAGTCACGAAAGCTTTAAATCGAAATCTATCGGCACGTTCCGCACCTATGTTTTGCAGAAGAATATGATCAAGCAATCTAACGCTTGACCGATTTCTACTTTTTGAGTCTCATCAGCAGAGTGTGGCGTATTATACAAATGCTGCTGTGTGGTCTGATAAAGGAACAAGTGAACAAAAATCACATACATGTAATGGAACATGTAATGCTTTTCCAACATGCATTGGAAGCAATCGGCATTTGATGGGCAATATCAATGGTAATTATCACATCAGGTAAGAAGGGAGAAGTATTTCCGTCGGTCGTGATGAGACATTGAGGCTCACATTGTGGCTCCACGCAGGAGAGGACACCTTGGCCGGGGGGGGGGGAGGTCTGGGGGTGCCAAGGTGGATCCTTCTGGCGCTGGTTCAGGGCTCCAAGTTTTAGGCAACCATTTGATCAACGTACTCTTAGTTCTTTCGTAAAGTCACGTAGGTAAAAAATGAAATGAAAATTAATAAAAAATAAAATAATAAAAATTACTTTAATTGTATTTTTTACCTACGTG